CCCCAAAACCCCAAAACCCCAAAACCCCAAAACCCCAAAACCCCAGTTAATCAAGGTAAATAAATGTATTAATTAATATATAAAAATGCCGGACTCAGTTACGCTCCATATATCTTCACCCGTTTCCCTGCCTTCCCAATCCTTCTCGCTCCTCCATCCTTCCTGCAAATCCTTGCCTACAACCCAAGCTTGGCTAATATTTAAAACTGGTAGAGGCCATGAGGAATTCGGTTTTAGCAGAGGAATATTGGTGAAGAATAGGTGCAGAAGGGGCCAAGTGAGGGCTGGATGTAGGCATTTTAATGGGCTTTAGAGGGTTGGATGAACCAAAGGTTTCCGAGGTTGTAGAGAACCTATGGTGTATAGGTTATGGATGGGATTTATCTTTGAGGTATATAAAACCATATCATGTGCTAGATAAAAACTTACCCTAAAATTTATATCTTCATACATGCCATATGCAGGCAGGTTTGTTGATTTTTCTCCATTACTGGCTGACCTTTTTCGTTAAAACTCCTATTATTTCTTTGCTCTAACATGGAAGAGGTCACCTCTATTGGAAGTAAATATCATTCTGAAGCTTACCTGTAGAGATATGCAGATGGCCCAGAAATGGCACAGGATCTTGAAGTTGTGAAATGATTAGTAGTAAGTTCATGAAGCTACTGATTGTGAATAGGAGCAGGACCTATAATATTACGAGAAGAAGGATGTCAATGATCTAGTTTCAAATGTCAAAGAGTTATAAGGAAGAAATAAAGATGCTAAATATGATAAAGAATTGGATGAATATACTTAGAGTGAAAGCAAGAACAAGAGAGTTGATACAATATTAGAAAATTCTATAGCAAGGAAATCATTAAATAGAGTGTAGATGCCAAACTTGCAAAATCTCAGGACCTCCTTTAAGTCAAGATGAACCCTCAAAATTCAAGAAGGACTCCAGAAATCTGTGGTAGTTTCACACAAAATTAAATTATTAATCTTGAAAAATTAGTAGCTGAATCTGAAGTTGGGCTTTAGAATAGCTTCTGAAGGTTTTGTAACTCGGTGTCAGGTTTGGAAATAGATACCAAAGAGGTTGGCAATATTTTATGAACCAATTGCACTATGCCATTTATGTCTTCCCAATTCCAGTCTCCTAAATCTCAAAAATAACCAAGCTTTTGTGTCAATATTCAGGTGACATATTGGGGTTTTGGGGTTTTGGGGTTTTGGGGTTTTGGGG